TGTCCCTGCTGGCCACCCCTCTTCTGATGGAGCCCAGGATCCCATTTGCCTTCCGAGCCGCAAGGGCACTTATGCCACTGACGTCGCTCCTGAATTTACTGATGTCACCCACAGCCCAGAAGTCAGAATCCAAATGATGGAGCTGAGCTGAGAATGTGCAGAACTCAGCCCGAATCTGCAGCAGTGAGCTCACAGTGATGGAACTGGTCACAGGGATTTCTATAGACGTTATAGAAACGGTGATGGAGATGGAGAGGGTGATGCGGATGGTCATGGTCATGGTTATGGGAACAGATACAGCCAAAATCTGCAAAATTGAGCACTGAGTGACGGATCTCTGAATTTTCTGATGAAGGATGGGGAAGGTGATGCATGTGGTTACGGTGTTATTGATGGTCATGGTCACGGTTACAGATGTGGACATGAATATGGAGATGGAAATGGACATGGATGCGGATACGGATATATGGGTGGTGATGGAGATTCTAATGGTGGTGGCAGGGGTGACTGAGCCCGTGTCTGAAAACAAGGACATCTCCACTTCCTGTGGCTCCATATCACAGCACTGCTCCAGGACACTGCCCTGCCTCAATGGGCGCAATTCCCACTCCTGTACAGCGAGGATGACACCACAAAATCAAGATCAGCGTCGATACCTTGAGCACCAGCATCACAACTACCAGCACCACCTCTGGCGCAGTAGTAGGTGGCGGTGTCCTCAGCCCTGAGGTTGTTCAGCTGCAGCCTCACTGTGCTCTGCCCGTTGTCCCTGGAGATGGTGGCACGGCCCTGCACCGCGGCCCCGTATCTTGTGGCACTACCATCAGTGCTAATATGGGCGACGTATTCCAGCCCCTTGCCGGGTGCCTCTCACACCCAGTCCATCCAATAACTGCTGAAGTCGAATCCAGAGGCCTTGCAGACGAGGGTGATCCCTCCTCTGGGCGTCTGGAGGCCTCGTCCAACGTCACGGCCGCCATCAGCCCTGTGGGGAAGGAAGGACAGACAGCGCTGATGGAGCTGCCGACACACGGCCTCGTGAAGCCAGGACACACAGAGACCCCATAAGGACCCCACAGACATCCCATAGAGACCCCACAGAGACCCTACATGGTCCCAATAGAGATGCCAGTGAGATCCTGTAGAGATCACACAGACACCCCTTGGAGACATCATGGAGATCAAATGAAGGCCACATGCAAAGCCCTTTGGTGCTGCTTCGAGATCCCGTACAGTCCCCACAGAGACCCCATAAGGACCCCACTGATGTAATGCAGAGACCCCATGGGGACCCCACTGCAGACCAAGAGAGGCCTGGGACAACCTGGTGGGGCAGCCAAGATCTCCTTCTGTCCTGGCTTTCTCAGCATCAGCCCTCACACCTCCTTCCTCCTCTTCCCACTCCTCCTCAGGGGCCCTGGCCTGAGTGGGGTCACACTGGGGTCAGTATGGGGTCTGTCAGACATTATTGGGGTCTGTGTGGGATCTGAAGGGGATCTCTATGAAATTTCTAAGGGTTCCATAAGAGATGTCTCTATGGAATCTCAGTGAAGACTCTACAGTGTCCTTATGGGGTTTCAGTGGCATCTCCATGGGTCTCTGTGGGGTCACACCGGGGTCTCATTGGGGCCCCTTCTGCACGAGGTCGTGTGTCAGCGGCTCCGTCAGCGCTGTCTGTCCTTCCCCACAGGGCTGATGGCGGCCGTGACGTTGGACGAGTCCAGGGGTGGCCTCCAGACACCCGGAGGAGGGATCAGCCTCATCTGCAAGGGCTCTGGATTCACCTTCAGCAGTTTCAACATGCAGTGGGTGCGACAGGCACCCGGCAAGGGGCTGGAATACGTTGCAGGTATTAGCGGTGATGGTAGTGCCACAAGATATGGGGCAGCAGTGGATGGCTGTGCCACCATCTCGAGGGACAACGGGCAGAGCACAGTGAGGCTGCAGCTGAACGACCTCAGGGCTGAGGACACCGCCACCTACTGCTGCACCAGAGGCACTGCTGACTGCTGTGATCGTTACTCTGATTGTATCGACGCTGATCCTGGCTTTTGTGGTGTCAGCCAGCATGGGCTGGAGTGGGAATTCTGCCCGTTGGAGGCAGGGCAGTGTCCAGGCACGGTGCTGGAGGAGCCACAGGAGGTTGGGATCTTCTGGGCACGGATTCGGGCTGTGTCACCATCAGCAGCACCAGCACGACATCAACAATCACACGCACATCCGTTTCCCTAAGCAAATCCATGTCCCAACTCATCTGCTAATCCAGAGCAATAACCACGACCATGACCACGGCCATCCGTATCAACCTTCCATTCCATCCCCATCCCCATCGTTGTTCTGAATTTTCTCTGATCAGTTCCATCACTGTGTGCCGACAGCTCCAGATTTTGGGCTGAGTTCTGCCCATTCTGCACTCAACTCCATCACTTGGGGTTTGTTCACTCAAGCCGGGCAAACGAGTGATGCCAGAAACCCAGGAGTGATTTCGATACGATAAGCAGAACCACAACAACCACTACCAGGCATCTGGATGGATCTCATAAGAACAGAACCGGCCTTGACCTCCTCCACCCACAGCTTCACCTCCATCAGCCCTCGCCCCTCCTTCGTTCTCCTCTTGGTTGCTTCTCCAGGTGGGCCCCAGCCTGAATGGGGCCCCTCTTGGGTCACTTTTGGGTCTCTGTGTGGTCTCTCTGAGGTCTCTATGATGTCTCAATGGACTCCCAAGGGGGCTGAAGGAGGTTTCCATGAAATCTTATTCGAATCTCTATGGGGTCTCTATGGGGTCTCAGTGATGCCTCTAAGGGAACTCTATGTGTTCTTTATGAGATCTTAGTGCTGTCTAAATGGGGTCTCTATGAGAAATCTATGGGGTCTCTGTGGGTTTTTAGGGGCTTTCAATGGGATCTCTCTGGGTCTCTATGACATCTCAATGTGTCTTAGTGTGGTTTCAGCGTGTCCCAGCTACATGAGGCCGTGTGTCAGCAGCTCCGTCAGCGCTGTCTGTCCTTCCCCACAGGGCTGATGGCGGCCGTGACGTTGGACGAGTCTGGGGGTGGCCTCCAGTCGCCCGGAGGAGGGATCAGCCTCGTCTGCAAGGGCTCTGGATTCACCTTCAGCAGTGTTGCCATGTTCTGGGTGCGACAGGCACCCGGCAAAGGGCTGGAATACGTCGCAGGTATTACCAGCACTGGTAGTTACACAGAATACGGGGCGGCGGTGAAGGGCCGTGCCACCATCTCCAGGGACAACGGGCAGAGCACAGTGAGGCTGCAGCTGAACAACCTCAGGGCTGAGGACACCGCCACCTACTACTGCGCCAAAGATGCTTATGCTGGTGGTAGTGCTTGTTGTGGTTACTAATCCGGTGATATGGACATCAGAGGGACATGTGTTCATCTTCATTAGGGAAGGTTCCATCCGGGCTGCAGAGCTCTGTGCTGGGCTCAAGGAATTGGATCTGTGCACGCAATCACAGAATGGCTCCGTTCTGAAGAGACCCTCCGTCCTCTCGTCCCCCCGTTGTGCTGAGAGAGGGGATGGGCTCTGTAAAAACATTGGGGCTCAGCTCCACGCTGCTGCAGGATGGAGCCCTGGGATGTGGGGATGTGCTGGGCAGGGACACGGCTCTGTCACTGTCACCACCACCACCATCATCACCATGTCATTAACCATACTCACATCCCTATCCATATCCGTATCCATGTTGATAACCATGATGATAACCAGGACCATCTGCATCATCATAACCATATCCAGATCCACCACCATCCCTTCTGTGGAAAATTCTGTGTTCAGTTCCATCACTGTGTGCTGACTGCTGCAGATTTGGGCTGAGTTCAACACATTCTGTGCTCAGCTCCATCCCCTGGGCTCTGATCTCACAGTTTGGCCTGAGGGTGACACCACCAAATCCAGGACTGTCGTCGTTAGCATTAGCACAACTGTAACTACCAGAACTTTTCGCGCAGTAGTAGGTGGCGGTGTCCTCAGCCCTGAGGTTGTTCAGCTGCAGCCTCACTGTGCTCTGCCCGTTGTCCCTGGAGATGGTGGCACGGCCCTGCACCGCCGCCCCGTAGGATGTGTAACTACCAGTGCCACAAATACCAGCCACGAATTCCAGCCCTTTACCAGGTGCCTGGCGCACCCATCCCATGGCAAAACTGCTGAAGGTGAATCCAGAGGCCTTGCAGACGAGGGTGATCCCTCCTCCAGGAGACTGGAGGCCGCCCCCAGACTCGTCCAACGTCACGGCCGCCATCAGCCCTGTGGGGAAGGAAGGACAGACAGCGCTGACGGAGCTGCCGACACACGGCCTCGTGCAGACAGGCCTCACTGAGACCCCATTGACATCCCATACAGACCTCACGGAGACCCGATACGGACCCAACAGAGATCCCTGTGTGATCCTGAACAGGATACACAGACATCCTTTAGGAATGTGATAGAGATCCCAGCAAGACCACAGTCTGATCCCATGAAAAGCCATTGGTGTCGCTTAGAGACCCCTCAGGAACTCCATTGTTGTCCCATAGAGACCCCATAACGACCCCACTGAAGCTCAAGTGAGGCCCGGGACCAGGGGCAGCCAAGATCTCCTCTCCCAGCTAAGACAGCCCTTCTGCCTCCTTTCTCCTCTTCTTGGCCAGCCCTTCTGGTGGGCCCTGGTCTCAGAGGGGCAACAGTAGGGTCACTATGGGGTCTGTGTGAGACAGTGGTGGGGTTTGTGTGGGATCTGAACGGCATCGCTAGGAAATTTCCACGGGTTTCATAGGAGGCGTCTAAGGAAAGTCAGTGAAGGCTCTTCAATGTTCCTATGGGGTTTCAATGGCATCTGTATGAGTCTCTATGGGATCACAATGTGGTCTGTCTGCACGAGGCTGTGTGTCAGCAGCTCTGTCAGCGCTGTCTGTCCTTCCTTCCCCACAGGGCTGATGGTGGCCGTGACATTGGACGAGTCCAGGGGTGGCCTCCAGGCACCCGGAGGAGGGATCAGCCTCGTCTGCAAGGCCTCCGGATTCACCTTCAGCAGTTTTTACATGGGATGGATGCGACAGGCACCCGGCAAGGGGCTGGAATTTGTCGCTGAAATTAGCAGCTCTGGTGGTACCACAAGATACGGGACGGCGGTGCAGGGCTGTGCCACCACCTCGAGGGACAACGGGCAGAGCACAGTGAGGCTGCAGCTGAACAACCTCAGGGCTGAGGACACCGCCAGCTACTCCTGAGCGAAAACTACTAGTGCTTGTAGTGGTGCTGGTGCTCCTGATGCTGGTGAGATCGACAGAATCACAGCTTTTCCTGCTCCCACCCGCTCTCAGGTACACAGAACCTCGCCCACCAATGACAGAACCCAGCCCAGAATGTGCTGAGCTGGGTCCACGTTTCAGAGCTGAGCTCAGCTGTGAAGCTGTGACCCCGAGAGGAGCTTGGGGTGAGCGGGGTCAGCTCTGCTCCGTGAGCAGCGTTAGGATGAGAGGTGATGGCATCACGTTGCACAAGGTTGGGTGTAGCGGAAACCTCCTTATGCCAGAGAGATGCTGGGCATCAACACAGGGAGCTGGGGGTCAGTGAGCTGCTCTGCCCCACACGCAGAGCTGGGTTCCCACACGTGGCTGTGCTTGAGAGCAGGATTGCAGAAGAGATGACGATCCAACCAGTGTGTTGACCCCAACCATAATCACCAGCAGCACCCGAATTCCCACTACCAGCATATTTCGTGCAGCAGCAGTAGGTGGCGGTGTCCTCAGCCCTGAGGTTGTTCAGCTGCAGCCTCACTGTGCTCTGCCCGTTGTCCCTCGAGATGGTGGCACGGCCCTTCACCGCCGGCGCGTATTCTGTGTAACTACCAGTGCTGGTAATACCTGCGACGTATTCCAGCCCCTTGCCGGGTGCCTGGCGCACCCAGTGCATGGTGTAACTGCTGAAGGTGAATCCAGAGGCCTTGCAGACGAGGCTGATCCCTCCTCTGGGTGCCTGGAGGCCACCCCCGGACTCGTCCAACGTCACGGCCGCCATCAGCCCTGTGGGGAAGGAAGGACAGACAGCGCTGATGGAGCCGCCGACACACGGCCTCGTGCAGCCAGGCCACTCTGACACCCCACTGTGACCCCACAGTGACCCGTAGAGAGGCCACTGAAACCCCATAGGGACATTGTAGAGTCTTCACTGAGATTCCATAAGCATCTATTATGGAACCTTAGAAATTTCATAGAGATCCCATTCAGATCCCACACAAACCCCACTGTTGTCTCACACAGACCCCATAGTGACCCTACTGAGACCAGGGCCCAGAGAAGGGCTGGCCAAGAAGACAATTAAGGAGGCTGGAGTGCTGCCGGAGCTGGGAGAGAAGGAGATCTTGGCTGCCCCTGCAGGTTGTCCCAGGCCTCACTTGAGCTTCAGTGGGGACCCTATGGGGACTCTGTGGGACGACAGTGGAAACCCCAAGGGGTCTCTAAGCGACGCCAATGGCTTTGCATGGGATCTGACTGTGGTCTTGCTGGGCTCTCTATCACATCCCTAAGGGGTGTCTGTGCGACAGGCACCCAGCAAGGGGCTGGAGGGGGTCGCAGGTATTGAGGATGATGGTAGCAACACAGAATACGGGGCGGCAGTGGAGGGCCGTGCCACCATCTCGAGGGACAACGGGCAGAGCACAGTGAGGCTGCAGCTGAACAACCTCAGGGCTGAGGACACCGCCACTTATTCCTGCATGAAAAGTGATGATAGGGGATGTAATGCTGATCAGATCGACGTCGCTCCCGGATTTATTGGTGTCTCCCAGAGCTGAGATTGAGAGATCAGAGCCCACGTGATGGAGCTGAGCCCAGAATGGACAGAACTCAGCCCAAATCTACATGAGTGAGCTCACAGTGATGGAAATGATGACAGAAATGTCAGAAAATATGATGGTGATGGATATGGATCTGGGTAGGAGAGTGTGGATGGTGATGGTTATGGTCATGGTTATGGATACGCGCCTTGAAATAGACATGGATACAGGTATGGAAATGGTGATGGTAATGGAGACAGTGTAGCTGGGGATAAAACTCTCTGCTCCCAGCACAGAGCTCTGCGTCCCAGCTGGAACCTTCCCAGATGCAGATGAAAACATACCCCTGTGATGTCCATGTCACCACCAGCAGCATAACCACAACAAGCACCACCACAATCATCACCATCTTTGGCGCAGTAGTAGGTGGCGGTGTCCTCAGCCCTGAGGTTGTTCAGCTGCAGCCTCACTGTGCTCTGCCCGTTGTCCCTGGAGATGGTGGCACGGCCCTTCACCGCCGGCGCGTAGTATGTGCTACTACCACCACTGTTAATACTGGCGACGTATTCCAGCCCCTTGCCTGGTGCCTGTCGCACCCAGTGCATGGCATAACTGCTGAAGGTGAATCCAGAGCCCTTGCAGACGAGGCTGATCCCTCCTCCGGGTGCCTGGAGGCCGCCCCCAGACTCGTCCAACGTCACGGCTGCCATCAGCCCTGTGGGGAAGGAAGGACAGACGGCGCTGACGGAGCCGCCGACACACGGCGTCGTGCAGCCAAGCCCCATTGAGACACCGTAGAACTTCAGAGAGCCCATAGAGACGTTTTGAGACGCATAGAGACCCTCTAAAGTCCACCCAAATATCCCCTTGAGACCTCACTGAGATGCCACACAGATCTCAGTGAGTCATCGTGGAGAACACAGTGAGAATCCATAGAGACCCCATACAGATCCCTAACAAATGCCTTAGATGCCTTATGGGTACCTCTAAAAAACCCCACTGAGGCCCCACTGAGGCTGAGGCCCACACACGGGCTCTGTCACCATCATCAGAACCATTGCCATACCCATATCCATATCCATATCCATATCCATATCCATATCCATGACCATGACCATGACCATGACCATGACCATGACCATGACCTTGTGCAGGTCTTGCAGAGCTGCCCCAGGTCCCACACTTCCACCTCGTGTACACCCAGACAATGCTGAGGTGTGGTCCTGTTCTGTGGGTGTGGACTGGGAGGAGGCAGGGAGGTCTGAGGCCTCGAGCACAGGGAATCCTGTCCCCAAAGTGACTCTGGGAATGGAAGCCCCATTTCAGGGTGGGAGAGTGTGGTGCCAGAATTGGGGTGTGAGCAGGAGACCAGGGGAGACGGTGGTGCCACCTGCACCGGGAGCAGCAGAACCAGTGGTGAACCTGGTGCCACAGCTGTGCTGCTTCTCATTGCAGCTCTGGGCCATACAGTGGGAGAGAGCAGCAGCAAAGGAGGAGTGCCAGTGCTGTAAGCAGCACAACAAGCACCACTAACACGAGAATCTCTGGCGCAGTAGTAGCTGGCGGTGTCCTCAGCCCTGAGGTTGTTCAGCTGCAGCCTCACTGTGCTCTGCCCGTTGTCCCTCGAGATGGTGGCACGGACCTGCACTGCTGCCCCATATTTTGTGCTACTACCAGTGCTCCAAATACCAGCGACGTATTCCAGCCCCTTGCCAGGTGCCTGTCGCACCCAGAGCATGCCAAAACTGCTGAAGGTGAATCCGGAGGCCTTGCAGACGAGGCTGATCCCTCCTCCAGGTGTCTGGAGTCCATCTTCCCAGATGCAGATGAACACGTGTGCCTGTGACGTCTGTGTGACCAGCAACAGCACCCCAATAACCAGCAGCACACTCAGAGCCATCTCTGGTGCAGCAGTAGGTGGCGGTGTCCTCAGCCCTGAGGTTGTTCAGCTGCAGCCTCACTGTGCTCTGCCCGTTGTCCCTGGAGATGGTGGCACGGCCATCCACTGCCACCCCGTAGAATGTGTCACTACCATCATCATCAATACCTGCGACCCACTCCAGCCCCTTGCCGGGTGCCTGTCGCACCCAGAACATGTGAAAATTGCTGAAGGTGAATCCAGAGCCCTTGCAGACGAGGCTGATCCCACCTCCGGGTGCCTGGAGGCCGCCCCCAGACTCGTCCAACGTCACGGCCGCCATCAGCCCTGTGGGGAAGGAAGGACAGACAGCGCTGACGGAGCTGCTGACACACGGCCTCGTGCAGAAGGGGCCCAATGAGGACCCCATCGAGACTCATAGAGATGCCTTTCAGATGCCGTAAGAACATTGCAGAGTCTTCACTGAGATTCCACAGACATCCCTTATGGAACCCATAGAAATTATTCGTAGAGATCCCCTTCAGATCCCACACAAACCCCACCAGTGTCTCACAGAATCCCCATAGTGACCCCAGTGAGGCCCCTCTGAGACCAGGACCCACCTGGAGGAGTGGCCAAGATGAGGAAGGATGTGTGAGGGCTGAT